AAAAAAAAAAAAAAAAAAAAAGTATAATAGAAATGAGAGAGATGTGTTGGAAGTTAAATATTAAGAAAATGAGGAAGATTAGAAAGTAATTTTACGATTTAAAATTAACGTCGGTCAGGGGGACTAAATTTATATCGATGATGGTTTGTATGCAGGATATGCAAGTTCATGACTCGACCTCGCCCAACCACTAGATCCGTGTCCTCCAGCAGCAACTTGAACAACCTCGTGTCCGTGTTCGCCTCCACCAGATACGAGTTTCTTCAAACCGATGATCGATGCCAAGACTAGGGCCAATTTACTGACGATCAATGCTTTGCCAGCCAAAAGTGCAAGAGCACCGAGAGCCAATGGTACAAGAGTTCCACCGATCAACAAAGGTATCGCCATTAATCCACCCATCTTATTCTTTTTCCTTCTACCTGTGATGATAAAAAATAATATCGTATTGTGTGAAAATATATAAATAACGAAACAATTATATTATTACACATAGATATATATATTACCTTCCTCGCTGAAACTACGTTGAAGTTCCTCAATGTCGGTTAATTTAAGTTTCAACGTATGACTTTTGATAAACTTGACGATCCTGTCAAAGATCATCCCGTTAAGTGCATCTTCTTTGTCATCCAAAGCTCTCGGCAAATTAGCTTCGATTTCTTTCAAAGATTTCGGTACTTCTTCGTCATCATTTTTCACCGGACCTTCCCTTAAAAAGGTAACGCCATCGGCAACGTCGAGTTGGGCGCTCCTCGAAACCCTATCCATTGCTGAAAGTAACCTCAATTTCAAGCAAGGACTGATATCGGCGTCTTCACCCGAACACTCTTTGTAAATCTGATAAACGTAACGAATCTCGTTGAAGAAGCTGTTCATGCTAGACCTAGCCGTATCATCCTCGATTGAATTGGACGTTGGGTTTGCCTCGACCGACCTTGCCATGTTCGTGGCTAACAGGAGGATACCAATAGAGGATAGGAGGACAACTCGACTTTGTACAATGTCTTTCATTTTCTATCGACTCTTTTGGTATTATCTGCAACGATCAAAACTATTCTCAACAAACTCGAGTTGTAAAATATTGTTATACTTAAATAATACAAGACTCAAATCAATTCGTTGGATATACTTCTCTGTTCGATCTATTATCTCTCAAAATTAAAAGAAATAATTACTTAAAAAAAAAAAAAATAAAAAAAAGACGACAATGACGTTTTAATGTGTGTAAATTAATGAAATTCGTACCCTTGCTCCACTGTTTCCGCTTTTCGTTAGTCGCCGATATTTCCGACCGCAGCACGGTGTCGAATAAGAAAATAATCTGATCCTCTCGCGAGTCTTATGTTTTTATCTTCTTGACCCCACTATTTCTCCCACCCACTGCTACTTAGTTGTTTATTCCGTTGTCGGTAACGCCTTGCAAATGACTCTCTTGAAACTTGGTCTCTCGGTTAGCACAGAGAGGAGAGGAAATAAGAAAGAAGCTTTACCGGTTTACTTCGACTATCGCACCGGGATGCGTGTATCTTGAGAGCACACACTACGTGGACTGTACGTAACGGAAGCCCTGCCCTAGCTCTATATATCTGGTTCAGGTGTACCTCCGTACTCGGTTATATTCCCCCCACTTTTTCAATTCTAAACCCGTACAACAGACAGACAGACAGAGAGACGACCATCTTTACCACCATCTAACGCAATACCATTTTTATGGTTTGCTCGTTGCACCGGAACACGATTCTTATGATGCTCTAACGAACCAACGATCACAGAGGGTTGAGGAGTGAGGATATTGAACAGAGAGGAGTAATTCTGGTCAAGAGAATGTTCAATATCCTCCATAAACTCCCCCCTCAATCCCCACCACCACCACCATATTATACGTTCTAGTCTTTACTTTAGCACGCACGATTAAACCGATCCTCTTCTATTCACTTCTACTCGGTTTAAAAGCCGACCGGCTTGAACGGCTCGTAAACTCCTACCTTATGGATCATTCTATTCTTCTTTTTTTCCATTCGTATTTGAATCGGACTTTGCGACTGGTCGACAATAACTCCACCCACCGGCGTCGTATTCGCCAAACCCTATTTTTCACAATTTTTCTATTTGTTCCGATTCGTCGAAAGGGAACGAAAACGAAAGGAGGGAAGCTGTTGACTGTAGTAGAATCTGTTTTAGAGAGTACCGGAGATCCGTATTCCTTTTTTTCCCTTCGTTCTCGCTCCCGCTCACGTCCTCCCCTTCCCCCACGACGGATAAATAAAGATAAATAAATAAATAAATGTGCAGCATCTCTCTACTGATGAAAGTAGACTTCTTTCTATTCCCGGGGATTCATTTTAATGTTAGTATTTATCCATGAGATAGTAGTTTCTCGATCCCTGACACGGATGTTTTCCCATTCGATTTCGATTTCGATTTCAATCGGTTAATATTATTTTCTAACCTGTTTTGAAATATTATAAATATATATCCTAGAAAGAAATAAAATTGAATTAATTGAAGAAAAAATATTCAACGAGTTTATCTCGTTGAATATAAAAAAGAAAAAAAGAAGAAGAAAAACATGCACGCGCTCGGATACAAACAAACAAACAAAAAAGAAACAAAAATCCCCCTCGCGTAGAGAAAACGCTTTGTCATGCTCGTTAACTATCGCATTCGTGCATGCAACCAGAAAATTTGATAAACTGTTGCCTGACTTTAAAACGCGGATCTACTAAGGAAAAAAGGAAGTTCGTTGTGCGAAAAGTAGACAAATATGCGGAAAGAGGATGCCGAATGAATGGTGGGGTGGGCAGGGGGGAGGAGGGGGCGGTAATAAATTGTCCAGAGAAATTTTCAATGTGTTTTCTCAAAGGAGCCTTAGCGTTAATTAACAACTCGCATGTACACACACACACATACACATATCCGAAGAATCTAAATATGCACATATACATATATATAATGTGTGTATATATGTATATGCGGAATTTCGTCACGGTTCTTTCGAGGATACTTAAATCCATCTCTTTTCGTTGAACTTCCTCCCTCACAGATCCGTGTCTCCGTTCTGTTGTGATGCGCGCGAGCGAACATGCGAGTTTGTAAAACTAGGTCGCGTCAAGTGAAAACGCACAACGCACGTAAACGAAGATACATACACACACACACAGTTGATCAGTGTGGTAAGAGGAGAAAAGAAAATAATGCTCGAGAGTTAATAGTCGAGTTCACGGACTCACGTTGTAACATCAAAAACATTCTTGGTATACATATACATATACATATACATATACATATACATATACATATATGTATATTTCACTCGAATGGATGCTGTATAATTTTCGGCATGGAAATAAGAGATCAAGGTCTACATTATCTTACCTGTTTCTCCTCTTTACTTCACGGATATCGCTAACAGGATTTCGTCGTATTATCGATTTCTCAAATGCTATTGCGTGAAAACGATCTCTCCTGTTTCGCTTGGCGAAAGCGAGTATAAATATATTTTTTTTTCTTCTTATTCTTCTTTCTTTTTATTCTATTTTTCTGTTCATCATCATCATCATCATCTTATTCTTCTTCTTCTTCTATCTTTTATACCGTCTTTCGCGAACACCCGTATAATTTTTCTGATCAAAATTAAACCTATCGGATGTTACCGTTCGATTCCTATTTAGGTCGGGTTAGTTGATTTAATATTCTTTTTTTCTTTTTTTTTTTAAATGCACGACACACGACACGTCAATTTTTAATAATTAAAGGAACTACCACACAACGAGTCAAAAATTTTTCTTTCATCTTATAAAACCACCTTTTTTTCTTTTCTCCTTTCTTACTTTCTTTCATCGATCGTTTTTCCTTTTCTTTTTTTTTTTTGGAAATCAAATAACGACTCGAGAGAAATTCTTTTTTCTTTTCTCTCTCTCTCTCTCTCTCTTATTATATAGTACGAATAACTAAATGCAAAACGATTCTGCCATAATCGTACATTACATACAAAGGATGAAACTAATTTCCTATTTCAATTCCATTGTATACAAAAGTGAACACTCGACACCGTAGCACAGATTCATTTTAATAATGAAACATAATCGATCGCATACCTACCTACCTACCTACCCACCTATCTATCCTACTTGGTTATTCCTGAAAATTCTCTAATTGTAAGATTGAAAAAGAAGGGAGAAAAAAAAAATCTTATGGGAAATGTGTTGGCAAGTGCATTCAATTGGAATTTCCTGCACAATCGTTGGCTGCCTCCACGTGACCTCGAAAATACAAACGGTGTTCGTATAAATAGTGGTGCTTCTCGAAGTATAGTCGATCATTCCTGCAAATACCGGACAATCGTCTGCATCTAGTAATTACGATTCTTCCTTAAACCTCCCCCCCTCACCCTCACCCTCACCATCATCCTCACCCCTCATTTAAATACTTGTTGTTCGTTTTTTTCCGAGAATAAGCGTGTAATTTTGTTCTGGTTTTTTGGTTTTCTTTTTTCTTATTTTTTGTTTTTTTGTTCTTTTTTTATTACAAAAGAAAGAATCATCGTAATTCTTAATCATCATAATGTTATCATCACATTTATATCAATTATCATCATTATCGAGAACAATCGTATAGATAAATAAATATTTTTCTTTTTTTGTTTCTTTTCTGACATTAATAATACAATTAACGAATAATAATAATAATAATAATAATATTAATAATAATAAATAACAATCTTCGTGTCTAAAACTTACACATATTACATGTAACAACGAGTATTTCACGGCGATACTGGTTACCGAACAGTGTAGCGAACAGTACGCATAAAACGTTGGAGGAAGATATGGAAAAAAAAAAAAAAAAGAAAATAAGATAGAAAGGTAAGAAAGAAAGAAAGATATTGTAGGACAAGATAGAAGAGATTCTCTCTCTCTCTCTCTTTTTCATTTTATGATCTTCGTATTTAACGTTAACGTTCGTTCCGTTTTCGTAAATTCATTTAACGAGATCCCCCATGAAAAAGTTTAGAAGAGAAAGAATCCGAGAAAGAAGAAAAATAAAAGATAGGATCAAATTAAGAAGAATAAAAATAAGAATAGGGGAATGAAAGAAAAAAAAAACAAAAGAAAATAATAATTAAATAAAATAGAAGTAAGAGTAGATCGGGTAAGATAAATTAAAGGAAAGGAAAAGGGAACAATAATGGCAAAAAAAAACAAAAGTTCGCGTAACGAAAAAATGAAGAATCCCTGAAAAAGTATTAGGAATAAAGTAACGACGAGAAGAAGAAAAGAAGGCGGGAGAGTGGAGGGGGTGGGATAAGAAAAAAATTGGTAGGAGGGTGTTTTTTTGTACGATATCAGTATCAAGCATGAGATTGTTGTGATTGATGAGCACGATAGGCAATTTCATGTGCATCTTGTGGAAGACTTCTGGCCCATCCATGACCACTGCCACCAGAGTAACCACCATAGTCACCAGCTCCACCACCACCACCACCATATCCACCGTGTCCACCATCGTCGTGACTAACAACATGGCTGCTGCTGTGATGGGGATGTGCAACTACTTCATACGTCACGTGTTTCTGCTGAGAACTCAATAATTTCTTCAATCCAATTATAGCCGAAATAACGAGTGCTATTTTGCCAACCAAAAGTGCTTTGCCTGCTATCAATGCAATTGCACCTAATGCAAGTGGCAACAATGCTGCGGCTTTGAACGCCATTGCCATGAGAATCGGTCCAAGGATTTTCTGTGCTTTCCCTGTGTGAAATAAACATTATTATTATATTATCGTTTAATGAAATAAAACGTTTTCAATTTATAGGATACAATAAGTCTAATACTTCAATTTTTGTTAATTATTTATTTAGATATCAATCGAATAAATTTATCGGCTAATCGATTTAATCGAACTTCCGATTGTACGGATCGTTTATTTTGAAAGTGATTTAAGTTCATTTGCAACGCGTAAATATACATTATTTGAATTAGATTTGTTTATAACGATAATTTATATAATC